CCACAGGCCCCACTGGGCTACTATATCCTCCATGTGCAGCAGGGCCTCCCATCCATTGCCCCGTCTTTTCCACTGAGGTGGACCCAAGGACCTAGCCGGATGACTCAAGGACCTGCCAGACCTCCTATTCTTGGGACTCATGGATCTAGCACTCACTGTGTGGGCAGGCCTAAGGACCCAGGCCAGGCGACCTGGGCCCCTTGGGCCCTGGTCTTCAGAGCTCATGGAGTTGGCCTTCTACATATATCCAAAAAAGCAAAAATAGTATAATAGACTAGGTGACTATGCTAGCACACTGATGTGGTTAACACAGATTTGGCATCAACCAGGCCCAGGATGCTATTAGCTGCTCCCGCAGTGTAACACTGCCTACGTGCAGTCCAACCTAGGCTCTTTTTCTTTTTATTATTTTTAAAGATTTATTTATTTTTATTGGAAAGTCAGATATACAGAGAGGAAGATCTTCCGTCTGATGACTCACTCCGCAAGCACCTGCAATGGCCAGTGCTGTGCCGATCTGAAGCCAGGAGCCAGGAACCTCCTCAGGGTTCCACTCGGATGCAGGGGCCTAAAGCCTTGGGCCATCCTTGACTGCCCTCCCAGGCCACAAGCAGGGAGCTGGAAGGGAAGTGGAGCTGCCGGGATTAGAACCGGCGTCCATATGGGATCCCGGTGCGTTCAAGGTGAGGACTTTAGCCACTAGGCCACCACGCCAGGCCCCCAACCTAGGCTCTTGCCCATAGCAGGGCCATGGAGGCTTAATGACTATAGCTTTATCGTGATTATTAATATAATCACGTGGTAGGAGAAGTGCCTCCGATTCATCCGATCTAATTAATTGTTCTTCCTGTTCCTGGCCATTTGCACTTGAAATAATTTAGGTTAGCTTTTCAAGTTCTATTAAAATTCATGTTGGGGGTTTTATTCGAATTGCACTGAGTTCATCAATCAAATTGAGTGGCATTATTTGTAATAGCTAAATAGCACAAGTGTCAGCAGGATAATGGAAAAACAAGCTAGTTTATTCTTACAGCGGAAAATTACTCAGTAATAGAAAAAAGAACAAACTATTAATGCATTTGGAAAGCCAAATCTGTAAACGTTATTCTATGTGAAAGGAGTCTTACACACAGTGTGAGCTGTGCAGGGCAGCGACGCTTTGCAGTCACAGGAGTGCCCGGAAGTGTGTGCGAGAGAACTGCTTGTGTCTTGATAAAGGTCTGGCTTCAGAATCGCCAACTGTGCTCTTAGCTTTATAGATCGTATTATACCCACATTTTACTTCCAAAGGAAAAATTAGGAGTACTAAACAATCTAATGATATGCTTGCTGAAGTATTTCGATATTTTTGAAATACAATTTCTCCCCTGCCTCAAGAAAATCCAACATGGACTGGTGAGTGGATAGAAAGATGGATAGGCAAGTGGTTAAGGTCCTCGCCTTGCACGCCCAGGATCCCATATGGGCGCCGGTTCTAATCCTGGCGGCCCCGCTTCCCTTCCAGCTCCCTGCCTGTGGCCCGGGAAAGCAGTCAAGGACGGCCCAAAGCTTTGGGAACCTGCACCCGCGTGGGAGACCCAGAAGAGGCTCCTGGCTTCGGTTCGGCATAGCATCGACCGTTGCGCTCACTTGGGGAGTGAATCATCGGACGGAAGATCTTCCTCTCTGTCTCTCGTCTCTGTATATCTGCCTTTCCAATAAAAAAATAATAAAAATAAATCTTTAAAAAAAAAAAGAAAGATGGATAGATAAGTCTAGCAAAATGTAAAAATTAGTTCAGTATTGTTTATATGTATGACTGTTTTCATTCCTATGACTCAATAGCAAAAAAAAATAATCTGCTTAAAAGGGCTAGAATAGACATCCCTCAAAGTAGTTATACAAATAGGCAGCAAGAGAAGCTCAGGCACAGAGGGAGCACCGTCAGGGCACTGCGTGTCACGGCCACGCGATCCCCCGCACTAGCAGGTTACAGAGCATTTGCGACCCTTGTGTGCTGCTAGTGATGCTGTAAAATGGAGCCACCACCACGGGAAATAGTCCATGTGAGCACCACATTTCCCATCAGCTTCCCTCTGTTGTGCCTGGGAAAGCAGGAAGGTGCCCAAAAGCCTTGGTGTCTGTCACCGTCAGGGAGACCTGGAGTCCTGCATCCATTTCAGGAGGATACCTACAAATGCATTTCTTGCAACTTCAAAGTATAGTGGAGAGTCTCCAAAATAGAATGACGGAAGCAGAAGAAAGAATCTCAAAATTAGAAGGTACTTCCTGTCACCAGGGGGAAACAAACAGAAAGCTGGAAACAGAGCTGGGTCAAGCTCAGAAAAGTATTCAAGAATTAAAAGACACTATTAAAAGGCCAAATATAAGAGTTATGGGAGTCCCAGAGGGTACAAATAGAGAAGCTGGGATTAAAGGTGCATTCAATGAAATAATAAGGGAAAATTTCCCTAATCTAGAGAAAGACTTGGGAAACAATATCCAGGAGGGGCACAGAACTCCCAACAGGGTTGACCAAAAGCAGTCTTCACCACGACACATGATCATCAAGCTCTCTTCAATTGAACATAAGGAAAAGATCCTTAAATGTGCATGTGGAAAAAATCAACTGACATATAAAGGAATGCGAATTAAACTCACAGGAGACCTCTCACAGGAAACTGTTGCCAATTATCTGATTAGGACACGCAAGGTGTGTATCGAAGCACCTTGTTTGAATTCCCACTTTTTTTTTTTTTAAGATTTTTATTTTTGTTTTGAAAAATTCCATGGAGAGAAGATGAGACAGAGTCTTCCATCCGCTGGTTCACTCTCCAAATAGCTGAGTCTGAAGCCCGGAGTCTGGAATTTGTTCCCAGCCTCCCGTGTGGGCACGGGAGCCCAAGACTTTGGGCCATTTTCCCCTGCTTTCCTGGGCCATAAGCAGGAGCTGGATGGGAAGTGGAGCATCCAGGACATGAACCTGCATCCCAATGAGATTGCAGCATTTGCAGGGGAGGATTAGCCTGTTGAGCTGCTATAGTGCTACCTTTCTGGTCTCTTTTTAAAGTCAAAGTCAGAGAGGGAAAGACAGAGACAGTTCTTCCATCTGCTGGTTCCTCTCCAGGCAGCCACGACAACCAGAGCTGACCGTGTGAAGCTGGGAACAAGGAGCTTCTTGCTGGTCTCCGTGTAGGTGCAGGGCTTTGAACCACCCACTGCTTTCCCAGGCCATTAGCAGGGAGCTGGTTAGGAAGTGGGTTAGCTGGGAGATGAATTGGTGCACATATGGGATGCTGGAACTGCAAGCAGAGGACTCGCTTGCTCTGCCACCATGCTGGTCCTGGCACCCCACTCCTAACTGTTGATTCCACCTCCCTGTTAGTGCAGATCCTGAGAGGCAGCGGTGCTGGCCCCGTCCCGTCGTCCCCCTGTGAGAGACTGATTCACGTTCTGGACCCCCAGCTGCGCCCCTCCCGGCCCCACTTCCCCAGCCATTGCAGGCATTTAGGACAGACTCTTTCTCTGATTGTCAAATACATTTTAGTGACAAAATAATTTAAATTATTGTGTGATGCAGCAGTTTTACTTCTGGGTTAATACTTTTGAATGTTTATCCAGAAGAATTAGAGGCAAGATCACAAAGGTATTTTCACCTTTGCGTTCATGGCTGCACAGTAACCAAGACGCACGCACGTCCAGAGTGGGTTGTTCCGGGAGGCTCACTGCCATGGATGACAGCGCGGGTGAACTCGGGGTACGCATCCTTGCTGATTGACTTACATCAGAGATGTAAAGTAGGGTAGACCGGCCTTCAACAGTGACTGGCAGGGACAGTGGAGAGGTGCCGCTCAAGGCGCATTGGGCAATAGGAAGAGTAAGTTCTAGAATTGTACAGCATCCTGCCTGTAATTTATGATGCTTAGAAGTTTATAAAGAAGGGAGATTTCACATTAAGCTTCCTTACCACAATTTAAAACAGTAAAATGTTAGAGAAGAGAACCCACTTTTTTTCTCTACCAGTGATTTATGCTGGAAAGTAAAGTGAAAAAAAAAAAAAAAAGCCTTTTTTATGGACTGGGGGCGGGGCGTTGAGAGGTTTCTTTCAACCAGAATAAGGGTGCTGCTAGGCACAGAGAGGCATTTCAGGAGAGTTTGTGTTAATCCCACCAGTGGAATATATATATGTCAGTATACATATGAGAAATTAAACTTAATTTATTAAGCATTTTACCGGGTTCACAAGTGGTGATAAAGGGAGGATGCCTTTAAATATTCTCAACTCACAGGTCTCAAACTGGAAAGATTCCATAGGGTCTGTTCTTCAAAGAGGATGATTGTGTATTAGCTTCGTAGTGAGCCAGGCCAACTTTCATCAATGTTTTCCTCTTAGAGTAGGGAAGTAGTCGTTTCTGTTCTGCCGGGAGGCTTTCATCAACTTGACCTGGTGGTCATCATCTCCGCTTTTGGCACAGTTCCCAGATATGTAAGGAAAGGTTTCCAGTTAAGGTGGAGTTGTTCCGGCTGCTCCTTGTGTCGGTGCGGCTTGTGTTGCTCCAAGTGTGCGTGACCGTCTCCAGGTCCCTCAGCTGGACAGTGAGCTCGAGAGTGGACGGAGGAGCAGACACACTAGTGAAGTTTGGAGTCTGTGATTCTTTTCCCTCCCAATTTGGCAGGCTTTTCTTCTCGATGCTGCCGTTTTTCTAGCACTTCTGAGAGTATTGCCATAACAGTATGGGCATGCTGGCAAAACAAAACAAAACAAAACCAACATTATACAGAATTCAAGCTGGCATGTGCTAGGGAGGTGTAAGTCATTTGCTTATTTTAAAAGATTCATTGTAAATTTTATGGGTATTTCACAGCATCATGTGTGTCAAACAGTAATGATGCTGGCTGATAATCAGAAACTGTGTGTGTGGACATCGTGTTAGGGACAAATGCTGCCTTTTCTGTAGCTTTCATTCCTGTTTGCCTTGGACAGGCGTCTGCCCAACCTCAGGTTACACTCCTTATTTCAGGGCCCGTGGGGATGGCTGCGGCTGCTGCCGTGGCAACTGGAAAGAAGCGGAAACGACCTCACGTGTTCGAGTCCAACCCTTCCATCCGGAAGAGACAGCAGACACGCTTGCTTCGGTGAGGCCCCTGACGCTGTCCTCATAGCCTCTCCACTGGTTTATTGCTGACAGAGTTAGGGCCTGCAGGATTAGATGTATAGTGATACCAGGCTGGAGTCCCCAGGACACCTCTCATCTTAACAGTACTCTTACAGAATTCATTGAAAGCAGACGTACACTGTCACATTAATAATTTTTAAAATATTTGGTTTTGGGCCTGGTGACTAAAGTCCTCACCTTGCACACATCGGAATTCCATTATGAGTGCTGGTTCTAATCCCGGCGGCTCCACTTCCCATCCAGCTCCCTGCTTGTGGCCTGGGAAAGCAGTGGAGGACAGCTCAAAGCCTTGGGACCCTGCACCCATGTGGGGGACCTGGAGGAAGTTTCTGGGACCTGGCCTTGGATTGGCGAAGCACTGGCTGTTGCGGTCACTTAGGGAGTGAGTATTGGACGGAAGATCTTTGTCTTTGTCTCTCCTCCTCTCTGTATCTCTGACTTTCCAATAAAAATTAAAAACAAAAAATGTATTTGTTTTTATTGGAAATGCAAATTTACAGAGAGGAAGAGAGACAGAAAGATCTTCCATCCATTGGTTCAACGGCCAGAGCTGAACTGATCCGAAGCCAGGAGCCTCGAACCTCATCCAGGTCTCCCACATGGGTGCAGTCCCAAGGCTTTGGGCCATCCTCTACTACTGCCCCAGGCCACAAGCAGGGAGCTGGATGGGAAGTGCTTCTATGGGGTGACAAAGTCTGTAGGGGTAGGATTAGCCAGTTGAGCTATTGTGCTGGTCCCTTACATATTTCTGATAGGATGTCAGGCCTCATATTTACCTATCCACATTAGACAAGCAAGATTGTCTGACAGAGCTATTTATCTCAATTTAAATAGAAATTTATGTCTATATTGCTTTTCATCTTTTTAAAATTGTCGTATATTTGAAAGGCAGAGCAGTAGTATGGTTTTGGGGGAGAAGTGTTTCATCTGCTGATTGGCTCTGGGCAAGGCTTGAAGCCATGAGTCCAGAATTCTATCTGGGTCTCCCACATGGTGACAGGCACCAAGTACTTGACAGTTGCCTGGATGCACGTTAGCAGGGGACCAGTAGAAATGGCTGCAGGATTCACACCCTGTGTGCCAATGTGGGATGCAGCTTTCCAAGCAACAGTTTAACTGGTGCACCATGGCTTCTGGCCCTTGAGCCAATCCTAAACCAGGAGCTAAGGTTTCTTTCAGGGCCTCCCATGTGGATGCTGGGGCCCAAGGATTTGGGGTGTCCTCTGCTGCTTTCCTAAGCTGGAAGGAGAGAGCTGGATGGGAAGTAGAGCAGCTGGGACACAAAAAGGTCCTCATATGGGATGCCAGTGGGTTAGCCCTCCTGCCACTGTACTGACTCCCTGCCCCTCTATCTTCTTTAATTTGTTTGTAATCTTTTCATTCTGATTCAGGAAACTTCGAGCCACATTAGATGAATATACCACCCGAGTGGGCCAGCAAGCCATCGTGCTGTGTATCTCACCCTCCAAGCCCAACCCCGTTTTTAAAGTGTTCGGCGCAGCACCTTTGGAGAATGTGGTAAGTGCTTGTGGCTCGCTGTCTGGGCTCATGCTCCAGTGTTTTGCAGGTGGCATTTCAGCCCCTCCTTCGGGGGAGTAAGGACTGGTTTTTCAAACCACTGCATGCAAATCAAGATACTTTTCCTTACCACGTGCAATGAGAAAAACTATTTTTTGGTAACAAAGCAATTTAAGTTTAAGTTTCAAGATGTCAAAGGTTAGCCTAAAATGCCAATTACGAGATGTTTTTGAAAAGTTCAGGGAAAGGCATTCTATGAAAACACTATCCTGGGAAGGTGTAGTGTTTGGAAATTGCCCTGACAGTCACCTGCCACAGCTGGGCGTTTATCTGATGGCGTGGGAAGTGTAGAATGTCATTCCTGTTAGATCTGGAACAAATGATGGGGACTACACTGCATGGACAGAGAAAACAGGAGTTGAACTGAGAAACTTTTTTCATTAAGTTTTCTCTACATGCTTCTTCCTAGTGCTGCTGCCTATAATTTCACCATCTTTTCACTTTGTTCAATGGGATGTCTTAGGGGCCAGCGTGTGTCTTCACCTGCTGGTTGTACAGGTGTTGTTCCTGGGCCTCTGCAGTGGCTTGGTGAGGTTAGTCCCACCCACCTTGTTGCCTGGCTGCTCCAATCCTCTCTGGTTGTGGGCACCTTGTTTACTGCTGCCCTTAATTCCCTGCAGGTGCGTAAGTACAAGAGCATGATCCTGGAAGACCTGGAGTCGGCTCTGGCAGAACACGCCCCTGCGCCACAGGAAGTTAATTCAGAACTGCCGCCTCTCACCATCGACGGAATTCCAGTCTCTGTGGACAAAATGACCCAGGTGAGGGGCGGGTGGGAGGAGGAGATCCGAAGGCTAGAGGCTCCAGTGTGGGCGGGCTCATCCCTCACCCATGTTAGCCCTGAGTGATACTAGCAGAGAGCAAGATGCAGGCGGCGTCTGATAGCGAAACAGGAGGACTTGGGAATCACCTCTGTGCTGAGGGAGACCTGGGGACACCTGCTGCTGGCAGCATTTCTCTTCCTTGTGGGCCTGTGCATTACGTGAAGAAATGGAGAACGTTGGGAACGTCAGTCATAATCACGTAAACATTTCCGATGTTCTTGGCTGAGCTGTGCCTCTCTGTGGATTCTGAGTGCTGCCACTCGGCTGAGCTTCCCAGGATCGGCACCATGGCAGGTTAGGTTAAGCCTCCGTCTGGGTGCTGCTTCAAATCCTTGCTGTCCCACTTCCAGTCTAGTTCCCTGGTAACATGCTAAGGAGAGCAGCAGGGCATGGCTCAAGTCCTTGGATTCCTGCACCCATAGGGGAGACCCAGAGGAAGCCCCAGGCTCCCAGCCTTGAATATGTGCTGCCAAAGCGAGCACGAGACTCCCAGCTGTGGACAGGCCCAGCTGCTGCCATTGCCACTGAGGCGTGAATCAGCAGAAGGAAGGTCTCTTTTTGTCTCTACTTGTCTCTGTAAATTTGCCTTTCAAATAAAAATAAATAAATCATTAAAAATTAAATAAAAGTAAGGCTTTCCTTTCTATGGAAATAAAAAGCTGAAGCTCGGAGAGCCACCCTTGTAGTCGTTGGTCGGCTTGCTCCCTTTGAGAAGGGAACTCAGTTACTCAGCCGTGTAAATAACAGCCCTCCGTGTTTGCTGAGATCGTCTCTTTGACGTTTTTTAAGCTTTGAAAATGATAGTGTGGTGGCAGTGGCTCTGGCAGCCCGGGTTAAACCACACCTGTAGCATAGGCATGCCATGTTAGGGTGCCAGCGAAGTCTCCTGCTGGAATGCCTGGGAGGGCAACAGACAGCATTGCACATCAGAACGGAGGGCGCTGCTCCTGTGGGAGACCCGGTGGAGCCTCCCACCATCTCCTGGCTCTGCCGCAGCTGTTACGGCCACGCAGGGAGTATACCAAAAGGTGGAAGACCTCTTTGTTTCTCCCTCTCTGTAACTACCTTTCAAGGACAACAAAAGAGCTTAATCAAGAGTTGAGTGAAATCAAATATGCTTTAAAATATATTGTATCACACATTTTCTGTGATGGGCACTTTTCCCTTTTTTGTTGTTGTTAAAGATATATATATATATATTTTAAAGATTTATTTAATTTTTATTGCAAAGTCAGGCATACATAAAGGAAGAGAGACAGAGAGGAAGATCTTCCGTCCGCTGATTCATTCCCCAAGTGACTGCAACAGCCAGTGCTGCGCTGATCTGAAACCAAGATCCAGGAGCTCTTCTGGGTCTCTCACACGGGTGCAGGGTCCCAAGGCTTTGGGCTGTCCACTGCTTTCCCAGGCCACAAGCAGGGAGCTGGATAGGAAGTGGAGCTGCTGGGATTAGAGCCAGCACCCATATGCAATCCTGGTGCATTCAAGGTGAGGACTTTAGCCGCTAGGCCATCACGCTGGGTCCAAAGATATTTATTTTTATTGGAGAGACAGAGAGGAAAATCTTCCATCTGTTGATTCACTCCCCAAGTGACCACAATGGCCAGAGCTGAGCTTATCCAAAGCCAGGAACCTCTTTGGGGTTTCCCATGCAGGTGCGGAGTCCCAAGGCTTGGGGCTGTCTTCCACTGCTTTCCCAGGCCACAAGCAGGAAGCTGAATGGGAAGTGGAACAGCCAGGACACAAACTGGTGCCCATGTGGATCCCCACGCGTGCAAGGCACGTACTTTAGCCACTAGGCTACCACACCAGGCCTGGCCCTTTTCCTTTTTGTCACAGTTAGTGGATTGTGTTGAAATATCCTGGATTTTTGGTAATATAAGATCATTATAGATGTTGGGTTTTTAATGTTAAGTGACTGAAAACCACAGAAGTCAGAGCAAATGCTGTGGTTACCATTTTGGAGGTGAAATATTTGAAACTTTTTTATTCTGTGACTTGTAGCTGCTGGTGCACCCCCCCATGGGCTGGGCCTAGCTAAAATGGGGAGCCAGGAATCCATCCAAGTCTCCCACGTAGGTGGCAGGGACTCACCCTCTTGGGTCATCTTCCACTGCCTGCACAGGCCTGTTGGGAGGGGGCTGGCCCCGAGGCAGAGCCAGCCAGCCCTCCAGTATGGGATGCTGGCGTGGCAAGTGGCAGCAGCTTTACTCACTGTGCCTCAGCTCCTGCCCCTAGGCTTGAATTTGTAAAAAAAAATATACAGTTGATAACATTTCTGCTTTATTTTGTGCAAATATTGCTTTTCTTTGTTATAGTGAAGATATCAGTAACTCTTCTTAAATCTCCATTTTTCCTCATGTGCCTGCCGTGTGTGGGAAGGCACACCAGAATGCTTTAGAGGAAGAACTCATCTCATACAGCTCCCAGAAAGAACTTTTCTGTTTCATATTCAAGGAAGCAATGCATAGCCATTATTTATAATCATAAGGAAAGTTGAGTGACACACACAGTGTGGTTGTCTCAGCTGCACTCAGCGTGGAGGTGATGGCGTGCCCCGCCCTGCCCTGCTGGCAACCTGCGGAGAGAGCAAGTTGTGTTCAGTATTGCTCCCATGTTTTGCACCTTATTCACTCTTTGCTGTTAGAAAGTTACCATGGCTTAGTGGACAGAGTACTGAGACACAAGACTGGGCTACTAGTCCAAATTCTGCGACTATTACTCCACTACTCACCTTCAGCTTCGCAAGTGAAAATAAACAGACCCTCCTACTTTCTAGAGTAAGAGGAAGAAAAAACGAGATACTATGAAGTGCTTTGCTAATACATCACACAAAACTTATTACTAATTATTAACACTAATTATACATGTTGCTTGTACTGACTTAAAAAAAAAAAAGATGTGTTTATTTTCATTGGAAAAGCAGAATTACATAGAGAAGGTGGGCAAAGAGGGAGAGACAAAGAGATCTTCCATCTCCTGGTTTACTCTGCAAATAGTGGCAGTGACCAGAACTGGGCCAGTCTGAAGTCAGGATTGGAGCCTCTTCCAGGTCTCCCACATGGATGCTGGGGTGCAAGGATCTGGGCCACCCTCCATTGCTTTCTCAGGTCAGTAGGAGGGAGCTGGATTGGAAGCGGGGCAGCTCAAACTCAAGCCAGCACCCAGGTGGGCTGCCAGCACCACAGGCAGAGGATGAAGCTGTGATGCCGCAGCGCCAGCCCCTGTTAACGTTCAGATGATCAGTATACGATCTCTCACCCGTGCTTTGTGGAAAGTTAATGAACTTGAACTTCTATTCTTCTCAGCAAATGGGACAATACAAATGACTGTGTTATTTTACCAGATGAAAATTGAGGCATGGATAGAAAAGCAATTTATGAAGACACCGAGTGATTAGTAGAAGCACAGCTTGCTTAGGTCCGAGTCCCTACTCCTGGGCTCTCACTCCCTTTCCTGTAGAACTGCCATCAGCTCCCAGAGTGAGCCTTCCATTTAATCACAATAAACATTTAACGTTTTAAAAGCATTTCTTGGCTTACAGACTCTCAAAATCTCCTTCATCCTTAGGAGTCACGGAGTATCTGGGTTTCTGTGGGAATGAAAGGCGCGCTGTGCCGCCTGACGCTGCTCTGGGAGGAAGGGGGTGTGTATGGGTCGTGTTTAGATAAAAGTAAATTGTTTGTAAATGCGATATTTTACCTAACATGATTTTTTTCTCTACTGTTCAAAGTGTAGCTTGACACCAATAGCCTATTTTTGTGTGTGATTATGAAACAGAAGCCGCACAACCCTGCGGTGTGAACGCTCGCCTGTGTGCCCACTTTTGGCAGTGGAGGAGACCGAGATGCAGCAGAGTGGCTGCAGTACGTGCCGCAACGCCAGAGTGCAGTTACAGTGACAGTGAAGTTGTGTTTTTCAGAGATGTTGATGTTAGGGTAACCCTTTTCTCTAGGATGCTAAAATCCAGAGCCTGGGCATCTTTGAGAGTCGCGTTCTGCCCACGGGTAACTTGTGGGTCTCGAGTGAGGTCTCCGCCTGGCTGGCCAGCTCCCGGCTGATGCCAGTGCCGCTGACTCAGCTGACGCAGGAAGTTAGGGAAATGCAATGTTTCAGCCAGAATTAAGATTTTGCTAGTGGAAGATCTGTTTGGTTCCTCACCACCCTGGAGTCCTTTAGGACCCTGCTGCTCTTGTAAGGTTGTGAGCTTTTTTTGGAATCTGTATTAGAAATGGTCCAGGCAAAGACTAATAGAGTAAACATCTCTGAACAAACTTAGTGTTACTGGTCAGCACCTTCTCTTTCCCCTTTCCTGCCCCTCTCTTGCTGCCCCTTTGACCTTGGTGCCCTCCTCTCATTCTCACTGGGGTTTCTCTGTTGCCTTGGAAGTCCCTGGGAGTAATGATGCAACGGAGTGGCAATCATTCACCACTTGGAGGGAAGCCCTCAGAAACGTCCAGCCCAGCGAGCACTTCCTTAGAAGAATCGAGTCACGAGACCTGACCTGGTTTACTTGGGAATCATTCTGTTGTGTTATAATTGAGGTCTTTAAAAATATATACATATATATATTAATGTAAAAGGTGGCGTGATAGGGGTCTCACCTCTCTCCTTTCAAAAGGTCCCCTGTCTCTTGGATCCCTCCCAGGGGGTGCTTTCCTTTCCTATTCTCCTGGTCACTTCACAAATAAAACTTCTCTGTAACCAGAAAACAGACAGACAAAAAACCAGAAAGCAAGAGTGATAGCGGGCTTCCTCAGCTGACAGCAGCTGCTGCATCAGGCCAGGCCGGGGACCAGGAACTCCATCCCAGACTCCTGTGTGGATGACGGAGACCCAAGTCCTTGGCCCGTTTGCTGCTGCTCAGGCACCTCCCCGGGGAGCGGGCATTCTGAGCCCTGGAGAAGGGATGGTGGTGTCGGGAGTGTTGGCTTGGCCTGAAGAGTGTAGATCTAGTCTATTCTACTTCAAAGAATAGGAAACATGGAGCTAAAGTGAGATCACCTGCAGTGTCAGCATCCCGTAAGGGTCCTGGAATTCCAACTGTTTCACTTTTGATCCAGCTTTCTACAAATATGCTTGGGAAGGCATTCGAGGATGGCCCCAAGTCTTTGGATCCTGCACCTACATGGAAGACCTGGAAGAAGCTCCTGTGTCCTGGGTTCAGCCCAGCCCCTGGTGTTGCAGCCATTTGAGAGAGTAAACCAGCAGGTGGATATTTCTCTCCCCACTTACCTACTGCCTGTCTACCTCTCTCTTTCAAATTAATGAATAGATCTCTTTAAATAGATGAAATCAACTATGATTTCTACGTCTTCTTTACCTTTGGCTGCCACTGGTATGGATTGGATTGTTTTTAGGATTTGATGACTGTGCTGTGGAAGGAGCTGCATTTTCTCCTTTTTGTGGGTTGTGGTGGAGTCCTAAATCAGGATGAGAGAGGCCAGGAAAGCTTGTCGCAGCCCAATTAAGGGACAGTGCGAGAGCCTTGTGGTGGCTGAGCCTGTTGATTGTCTCCCTGTGGATTCAAGACAAGCCTCCCTTAACAAGCACTGAGAAGCTTTCCCTTCCCAGACTCCCCAGGACCAGCAATTAATCCAACTGGTAATGAGAGCACAGCTCTGAATTCTGGAAATGAATCCTTTAACTCTTTCTACACTGGACAGCTGGTTTTCCCTTAATTATAGTCTCTTTAGTCTCAACACTATTTGGGACAGAATGAAAACACTCTGGCATAATGTTGCCTTTTCCAATGAAATCAGCTCATCTTTGTGAATTTAAAAATTAAAGAAATCCTTCATCACTCAAATGTGTAGACTTGAAAACTAAACTTTTCTGAAAGATACTTTTTCTTCTGGTGAAGAGGCAAACTGTACTTGATAAGGAATGCTCTGAAATGCCAAGATCTGCCGCTGAGCTAGAACGCTTGCATCTCGGCTAGTTTTCAACTTTTGACCTGATGGATTCTGCCTGTGGAGTTACTATCCTTTGTGTGGCTTCCGTCTCCCTGGGGTCTTCTGTTGGCCTCTCCTAAGAGTCTGGGCTGCCGTGTGCGGCAGCAGATTAAGCTGTCATCAACAGTGTTGTCATCCTGCATGAGCACTGGTTTAAGTTCCACCATTCCACTTGTGACCCAGCTCCCTGCTGATGTGCTGAGAAAGCAACAGAAGGCTGGAGGCCAGAGGCCTCTGCACTATGTGGGAGACCAGGATGGGACTTGCTCTCTGTTTCTCTGTGTGTTTCTTACTCTCTGTTGATCTAACCAGTATTTATTCAATGCAACTTTGCACATTTACGTGCTATCTCTAACTCTCAGTTACCCTGTACATTTTCCATGATTTTAAGTTTTCTTAAAAAATATATATGTTATTTTTTTTAAAGATTTATTTATTTATTTATCGGAAAGGCAGATATACAGAGAGGAGAGACAGAGAGGAAGATCTTCCATCCGATGATTCACTCCTCAAGTGAGCACAACGGCCAATGCTATGCCGATTTGAAGCCAGGAGCCTCTTCCAGGTCTCCTGCGTGGGTGCAGGGTCCCAAGGCTTTGGGCCGTCCTCGACTGCTTTCCCGGGCCACAGGCAGGGAGCTGGATGGGAAGTGGGGCCGCCAGGATTAGAACCGGGTGTGCAAGGCAAGGACCTTAACCACTGCACCATTGCGCCAGGCCATATCTATTATTAAGCCATAAAAACTTGTCATAATCGAGAGCAAAAAAAATATTACAGGGCAAGAGTACTAGGAGCACCAAAAAAAGTAAAAATCGGACTAGAACCTGCATGGGTATCACAGGTAAATTTCCACCTGTGGCACTGGCCTCCCACTGGGGCACTGTGAGCCCCAAATGGTCCACTGGTGATCCAGTTCCCTGCTGATGATCCTGGGAAAGCAGTGGAGGAGGGCCCACGTGTTTGGGCCCCTGCACCCACATGGGAGACCTGGAGGATCATCCTGGCTCTCCTGACTTCAGCCAGGCCCGTCTGCCACTCTTGTGGCCCTTTGAGGAACGAGCCAGCAAATCAAAGACTTTTCTCTGTAACTCTGCCATTCAGATTAAAATATATATATATATATGTATGTATATATATACAACCATTTCAAGACTTAAAATTTTTATTTATTTGAAAAGCAGAGTACTATAGAGAGGAAGAGACAGAAACAAATATCTTCCATCCAGGGCCGCCCTGCTGAAGAAGAGCCTTCTTGGGTCTCCCCTGTGGGTGCAGAGGCCCAAACACTTGGGCCATCTTCCACTGCTTTCCCAGGTGCTTTAGCAGGGAAATAAACAAGAAATGAGGAAGGCAAGGACTTGAACCTGCAGCCATATGAGATGCTGACGTTGCAGGCAGCAGTCTTACAAGCTATGCTGCGGTGCTGGCCCCTGGACGTAGGTTTTCGTTGGCAAAAACAAGTAAGCTAAGAGGGTGAGAAGTTGGAGGAGTGTTAATTACGGGAGCTGATGATGTACCACCCACGTCTCAAGTTACCAGTAAGTTACTGAAACTGGAAAGCCCAATGAAACCCAGTCAGAACCAGATGGAATGGAAGGGTTCCATAGCCAGGGACCAGCATAACCCAAAACTGAGGAGCATGGGAAGAGTTGGTGTGATTGTGCTGAGGGGCACACGTGTTAGCTGTCCACACAGCGTGTTTCACATCAGGTGTGCCTGAATTCCACATCCAGCTCCTGCTGACCCCTGCTTCCTGTCAGTGCGTGTTCAGGGGGAAGTTGTGGCAACTTGGTGATTAGGTGTCTACTGTCCATATGGGAGACTGATGTCCCAGCTCTGCTTTCAGCCTGGCCAGCCTCAGCTCTTACTGACACATGGGGCGTAAAGTGGAATAGGAGAGCTCACTCATTCTCTCCCTTCCTCCCCTCCGTCTCTCTTCCCCTGTGTCCCTCCCCTCCCACCCGCACCCAGCCCTGACTCCCTCAGAAATAAAGAACAAATTATAATTAATTTTAAAATGATCAGGGTCTTATATCATGATCAAATAAGTAATAAAAAGTCATCATAGTTGGACAGTCCTCGGAATGAGACAGGTGGGGCTGCGGAACGGTTTGAGCTGTCGGTGTGGTGTCTGCGGAGCCCTTTCCCAGCACTTCCACTCTGTTAACTGGGAGATCCTCGGCCACCTCGTCTCATTTTCTCCACTCTTCGCATCTGTCAGTGAAGAGTTCCACTTTTTTGGATGTGTGGATTAGATAGAATAAAGGGATGTTATTAAGTTTCTGGTATCTCTACTCATCTGCACATCTGAGAAACCCATTTTAAATATGAATAGATGAAGAATTATATGTACGAGAATTGCGGGCTTTTCTGCTGTGTATCTGAGGCTAGAAAAAGGCATACTCTCAAGAAATCAAGATAAAGGGGGAAATGACTTTCAGATGCACTTTCTTAAAATAACTGAAGGCATGACTTCATGAGCCAGCTGACAGGCTAGGTTTGCAAGTGGGCGTGTTCTCTGAGCCTGCCGCTGGACGCTGCAGGGCCAGGTTGACGAGGGTGTCGTGGGGCGTGTCCTGAAGACTGGAAGGAGCATGAGCAGTGTGGCTGCTGTCAGCCATGTCAGGTAAACAGTTCTGGCTTGGGTTCATGGTTCCCTGTTCAGCAGTTTGCATTGTCTTGTAAAATAATATTTTGTATTTGTCATAATAAAAATAAGAATATTTGATAAACGGCTGTCAGTGCTTAAGTATAGCAATAATTCATTCTCTCGTTAGTCCCTAAGTGTTCTCATTCTTGCTTTTGTTGCTTTCTGACCACAGCTATAAGCCAATTGCTAGAAAGTGTCTTGCTCAGAGGCAGCATGGAGGTGTCCTGGGCCTACGTGCCTCTGTGACTCCAGTCTGTCGGGCAGAAAGCAAGACAGGAGGCCCACGGAGGAGCTGCTGGTGGCACTGCAGCTCGGTTAGCGCCAAGCAGTGCTGGGTCACGAGCACACCACCTGGGCCAGGACAGGCGCTTCCCCAGGTCCACACAGCCAACTCAGGCATGGTGGACCCCAAACCCTCCCCTAGAGTACTAGGGTTGTTTCCCCTTTATATTTGGGTCAAAGCCTGTAAATTGTATCATGTGTTGTAACCCAGCACCTCACTGCTGCAGTACTTTTTGTGTGACTCTCCAGAATTTTCCAAAGACAGCGATGTTCGCTGCAGGGAGTGATGATTTGGCTTTCGCCTGTTCCTGTCCTCTAATTCTCATGATTCCAGTGACCAAAACCTGTAGGAATACTGCTGGAAATTATACAAGAAAACCAGTGTGTGCAACTAGTGTTGTCTTCAGGGACAGAAACCAGACTTGAGGGCAGGTGCTCTTGCTGTTACAGGAGCAAGCCTGCGAAATACAGCTGCGCGCTCTCTCTGTTGGCATCCACAGGCTTTGCAGCAGCCGCGGACCTGCCGCATTTACAGGCAGCAGTCACGCTGCAGTGGCTTCTGTATTCTCAGAATCCAACAGGGACGTAAACAGCCCTGCACTGATGTCGCCTCTCCTCTTCTAGGCACAGCTGCGGGCATTTATTCCAGAGATGCTCAAGTACTCTACGGGTCGGGGGAAACCAGGCTGGGGAAAAGAGAGCTGCAAGCCCATCTGGTGGCCTGAAGATATCCCCTGGGCAAATGTCCGCAGTGACGTCCGCACCGAAGAGCAGAAGCAACGGGTAAGGATGGGCTGGGCTGCCGCTGGCCTGGGCTGCTGCTGGCCTGGGCTGAAGCTCTGTACCATGTGAGCTGCCTCAATTGTCATTTCTACCTCTTATGCTGACCCTTCCCCCCAAAGATGCTTGCTGTCCTCTGGTTACAGTCAGTTCCGGCCATCACTCCATCACTAGGAAAACCAAGAAACCTGAAGAAATGATGTTAGTCACTTTGGAAACTTAGCAGTGGCCTTCTGATTAGCTATAGCCACTGCTGAAAGACATGAATGTGGAAATATAGAACTGTCTTCTGCATGTTTGTTTTTCGTTTTGGAGGTTTTCAGATAACCTTTGTTGTATACTTGTTGGCCAGAGTAATCTTTTGACCCCAAGCTGGAATAAATTCCAAAATCTAAAACACACTTTGGTCTGCAAGAAAACCTTCTTTGCTGCCAGGGGCTCCATTTCTTTGTGCCACAATCAGTGTGTAAGAGATAATCCCAAGAGTTTATCTACACAGGTTGGGTTGACAGATCAGCAGCTGCTTGGTCCACTGTGGACTGAGGGATCCAGGAGCTCTGCTTACCTCGCTGCTTCTGCTCTCTGGGAACAGGTTTCCTGGACCCAGGCTCTGCGGACCATCGTTAAGAACTGCTACAAGCAGCACGGGCGGGAGGACCTTCTGTATGCTTTTGAAGATCAGCAGACACAGACCCAGGCCACGACTACCCACAGCATAGCCCATCTCGTGCCATCGCAGACTGTCGTGCAGACCTTCAGTAATCCTGACGGGACAGTCTCCCTCATTCAGGTGAGTGGCAGACTGCGGCTTCCCCCACTTCACTCAAGGAAGTTCTCTTTGTTCAAACTCTTTATTTAAAAAAAATGATATTATTTTATTTAAGATAGAGTTATACAGAGTCTTACATCTGCTTGTCACTCTCCAAGTGGCTATGACAAAAACCCAGAATCAGGAACTTTGTTCTGGTCCCCTGCATGCTTGGAGCTGTCCAGGTACTCGATGTAGTAACTGCTGCTTTCCCAGGGGCATCAACAGGAGAAGGATTGGAAGTGGAGCAGCTGGGATTTAAACTAGTATATGTGTCTAGAATGCCAGCATCCTGGGCAGCAGTTTAACCCACTGTGCTGCGATGAAGTCTCTTTGTGCATGTTCTTGTGTGAATTTCCTGTAGCTCCCGCAGAACTTCCTGTTGAAAACAATTTCTGAAGAGTACTTTAAGTTGTTTTTATTTTGTTTAATTCAGAACTGTACATAGATTTCTTAGACATTAAAAAAAAATTTTATGGCCAGGCACAGTAGCCTAGCAGCTGAAATTCTCGCCTTGAATGCACTGGGATCCCACATGGGCACCTGCTTCCCATCCAGCTCCCTGCTTGTGGCCTGGGAAAACAGTCAAGGACGGCCCACAGCCTTGGGACCCGGCACCTGCCTGGGAGACCCAAAAGAAGTTCCTGGCTTTGGTTTTACTCAACTCCAGCTGTTATGGCCACTTGGGGAGTGAACCATCAGACAGAAGATCTTCCTCTCTGTCTCTCCTCTCTGTATACCCGCCTTTCCAATAAAAATAAATAAATCTTTAAAAAAAACTTCTGAACTTCATGCTCATCTCTGAGATGTGATTTGACCAGCTCCTTTCCCATTACCCAGCATGTGTATCACTTGTTATTTGTGCCTCATTTGGGATTGTGTGAGAGAAAATTAGCTTCTGAGGAAAGGATGGGCCTGGGAACCAGCCACTGATTCCCTCTGCCATTTTTGTCTAGGTTGGTACAGGAGCAACGGTAGCCACGTTGGCTGATGCTTCAGAACTGCCAACCACAGTTACTGTGGCTCAGGTCAATTACTCCGCTGTGGCCGACGGAGAGGTAAGAGGGAGGATTCTGTCCATGTCATCCGCATGATGAGGTGGGGGCAGGGGGTGGATGGGAACATGCTCCCATGTGCTGGCTCACTCCCCAAGGAGCTAACACCGGAGCTGGCCCAGGAGGTAGGAGCTCCAGTGCTCCCGTGGGCATGCATGGACCCTGCCACTTGAGCCATCACCAGTGCCTCCCAGGGTCTGCATTAGCAAGAAGCTGCAGTCAGGATCGGAGCCGGGTACTGACCCCGATATGCTGATGTGGGACACGGCCTGTTACCCACTGGGCCATATACCAGCCACTGTGCACCTGCAGCAACCTTTGTGTTTTGTTTGTTTTGGTTTTAAGATTTATTTTTATTTGAAAGGCAGAGTTACAGAGAGAGAAAGACAGACTGTCTGTCTGCTGGTTCACTCCCCAAATGGCAGCAATGGCTGGAGCTGAGCCTGTCAAGGCAGAAACCTCTGCCGGGTCTCCCACGCAGGTGCAGCGTCCCAAGGGCTTGGACCGTCCTCGATTGCTCTCCCAGGCCACAAGCAGAGAGCTAGATGGAAAGTGGTGCAGTTGACATGCAAGTAGGCACACATACCGGATTCCTGGCATCCCAGTTGGCAGCTTAACCTGTGGCACCACAACTGCCCCTGGAGACAAACTGATTGTCCCAACCAGAGAGAATACTATTAGTCTCAAGGTGGGAGACACCAGAAACCCCAGGCTCCCGCTGTTCACAAAAACTGTCTGGCCTAAAAAGTTAATAATGTCAAGTTGGAGTAACTCTGGGCTTGACGTAGCAGAGTTGGATTCTCATCCATTCTCTCACTGGTTTGTGCATTCCTTTGTATGTGTGTGTTTTTACTAGCCTGTCCTTTCTGCCTCAGGTGGAACAGAACTGGGCCGCGTTACAGGGCGGTGAGATGACCATCCAGACGACACAAGCGTCAGAAGCTACCCAGGCGGTGGCGTCACTGGCGGAGGCAGCAGTAGCAGCGTCGCAGGAGATGCAGCAGGGAGCCACGGTCACCATGGCACTCAACAGGTGGAGGCAGGGATGGGGTATAAATGAGGATGGCGGACCCATCCTCAAGGAGAAGTGTCGTGCCTCAGTTTGTTACCATTGGCACTTCACGCTCTCAGCCCCTTGGTTACTGTCGGTTGGATTTGAACCAGGAAACCAAGTCCTTTGTGGGCATTCAGGAAGGGTGCTGCAGCGATAGTAAGAGCCAATTTCTGAAATGAAGTGTGGTTCCCGGCTTACATCCCGGCTGTGGACGGGAAAGTCGTCCTCGCGCCATTCTCCTTCCTTTCTGACAGTTTTGTCGTCACTGGTTAGGAGTGGCCATGGAGCCGCATGGCCTGGGTTTGAAGCTCTGTCATCACTTACTCGCTATTTGTCATTGGACAGCTTTTTTTTTTTTTAAAGCTCTGCCTCCCTTATGTAAAATGAGATAACAGTGCCCACCTTGTAACGGTATTGTTGAGAACTGGAAGAACAACTGGGTGTTGTGCCTCTGGGAGCCTTGGGTCCAGGCCTGGAATACAGTAAGGGCTGCTGTTGCCTTCCTGCGCAGCAGGTCATCTTGGAGAAGTTGTTCAACTCCTGGGGTGTGTCAGATCTCTTTAGGTAAGGTAGAAAGCACCCTCTCATGGGCGAGGTTCGTTGAAGTAAAGCAGTGAACACACATCCTTGCAGAGCACTCTGCTGGATTGTATCCTAGAAATTCAGAGCAAGGGAGGTTGCCTTCCCCAACACTCGAACTGGCTGCAGTATCCTCTGGGTGTGCTCGATGCTGGAGAGCGTGGCAGAGTCTGACCATTTGCTGTCCCAGGCTCGGTGCTGTGGCTGAGGTCCAACCACTTGGCAGCCGTTGGAGCTTAAGAAACATGGCCCTGACCTTGGTCCCCCCGTGTTTGTAATGAGCATAACTCTCATTGCGCATACTCGACAAAACCCATGTGACGATAGGTGTGGCTCTCACCAGGCAGTTCAACCTTTAGCACTTCGGGAATTGGGCTGATCATTTAAGCTGTATTTTCAGATTGATTCTAGTGAAAAGAAATGAAAAGACCAGTCCTAACTGCCCAGGCATGACTTGTTCAAGTCTTAGGAACCAAAATAGTGAAAATGGAAGCAAAGTGACTACATTCTTTCTGAAGATTTATTTTACATGAAAGACAGAGTTGCACAGGCAGAAAAAGACATCCACTGATTCACTCCCCAGATGCCGCATCCCTCAGCTCTGGGCCAGGCCACGCCGGGAGCTTGGAACTTCTGAATCTCTCATAGGTGGCAAGGGCCCGAACACTTGGTCCTTCTTCCATTGCTTTCCCAGGCACATTGGCAGGGAGTTCACTCAGATGTGGAGCAGCCAGGACAGGAACCAGTGCTCAGGTGGAGACATACGGCAAGTGGGGGTGGCTTAACCTATGGCATCGCAGCAGTAGCTCGAACTGACTGCTTGAAATGAGTGTGGCAGGACCTGGTGGTTGATGAGGGTCTTTTCCAAATTACCCGAACTAACATGGAGTCAAAGCTGTGTCTCAGCCCATGGAACATGGCGCTTTGCAGTAACGTGGAAGTCATTTGGTTCTTCCATGCCAGCTCTGCCCAAGAATTCCTTGGAGAGTGGACACCCAGGTAAATGTGAGACAGCTTCCTCAGTGTAGCCAGGCAGCCAGTGGCTTCAAGCCTCCTAGGCCATCACACAGAAGAGCCAAACTTGATTTCCTAGTGCCTTCCAGGCGTGAGTGACCTGGGCCCTGCACCTTGTGGAAAATGTGAGGCATCTCCCAGCTCCCTTTGCAGTGAGGCGCAGAGCCTGTTTCCAAGGGCAGAGAGGGGAGTGCTGTCCCCTGGGAGCTTATTAACAATCTTAGATGCAGCTGAGGTGGGGACAGTGTTTACTCCAAAGGAAAGAGCATGTGGTTCACTGTGGCATGCAGGAGTAAAGAGATGTTGAAATCGTTTGCAATCAGATAGTTCAATGCCCGGGTGAGTCGAGGAAGGGGTGGGAAGGCTGCCTCATCTGTCGAGGGTGAAGAAACCAGGCTTGGCAGCACACCCTTCAGGGGCACAGCAGGGCTGTCTGTGACCAGGTGACCGTCTGAATAGCTTAGGAGGGTTGGACCAAGATGCAGCAGAACCTTCACTTGCACAGGATTTGTTATTGTTGGGGGTCATCTTAGTGAACCGCCCACAGAGAAGGCTGGTCTGTTCCTGTGGTAACCAGGGGATGTCGTCACTGCCCCCTGCAGTCTCTCTGTCTCAGGTGCAGATGGAGCAAGCATGGTCTGTGATAACCACCTGCCCCTCTGCAGCCCTGTAAACAGCAGCTGTGGGTACAGAGAGCGGGGCGAGAGCAGCTGTGTGTGACGGCAGGTGGGGGAATGAGAGGACCTAGGCCTCCCCCTCCGAGGGGACGGGCATCCGGACAGGTGCAGGACAGGCCTGTTTCTCAGCCATACTGTTACCAGGGTTTTTGTAGAGCAAGTCCGAGCAAGGGCCAAGCCCTCAGTCTAGCTTGGCTTCCTAACAGTCCAAAGCAGGCATAGAGGAATTGTTATTCAAAACTATGCTAATATTAATATTCAGAGTAATGAATAAAATGTTTATCTCATCGAAAGATAGAGACAGATTTGTTGGTTTTTTTTTTTTTAAAGATTTATTTATTTTTATTGCAAAGAAATAAAGATCTCAGGTACTGGATGGTTGGTACCCAGTGTGGTAAGCTGCCGTGCAACATGGGCATCCCATGTGAGCACTGGTTCAACTCCCGTCTCTTCCTGTTTCAATCAGCTCTCTGCTTATGCACGAGGAAAGACAGAAACAATGCCAGAACACTTAGAACTCTTAAACTTCGACAGCAAAAATACGGGTTAACTCAGAAATGGGCAAAATGCATCACTATGCATTTTTCTGGAGAAAAATATGCAAATGACCAATAAACACATGGAAAGTTGCTCCACATTGCTAATAAATACTGTGAAATGCCATTTCACATCCATTAGGATGATCACGGGCCGAAAACGGGAAGAACAAGTGTCAGCAAGGATGATCGGTTGGAATCCTTGTTCAGTCAGGAAGTTGGCAGGACTGCGGCTCAGCACTGCTGTGGGAAACTGTGTGGTGATTTTTTGATGTAATTAAAATCAGAGTGACTATGGTGCTGATAACTAGTATACAGTTGAATGTGTACTATATAACTCTAGTAACTATGTGGTGTATCCAAAAGAATTGAAAGCAGTGTCAAAAAAGACTGTTTATTAAAAGCCTAAATGCAGAAACAGCACAAGTGATGATTGACAAATATGTGGCCATGGAAAATGTGGTGCATCCATACAGTGAAATGTTCGGCCTTAAAAGGGAAGGGAGCGCTGGCGTGTGTGGCAGCATGACTACACGTGAAGATGATAAACCGGTGACAGATGGACAGTGGGGTGGCAGCCGCCCAGAGGCTGAGGAGAAGAGCCATGGAGTTGTTGAGTGCAGTGCGTCCATTTTCTGAGCTCAAGTGTGTGACGGAGGTGGCGATGGCTGCACACAGCGTGCCAGCCTTGCTGCTGCTGAGCCGCAGTACCGTCCTTGTGATGGTCACTTCTCTGTATGTTCGACTGCAAGAACAAGATCAAGGAGTCCTACATACAGAATGGTCCTGTTTACCAGTGTATCTGCTGAAAAGTGGTATTTAAAATTAGGAGAAAATAATTATGAGATTTAAAATATTATCTTATTCCTAAAATTTTTTCCCTGTTTTCTACATTATGTTTCTATTATTATCAAAAGAGTAATTTTAAACACAAAAGCATAAAAATGTAAAAGCTAAGGGAGGTTAGTAAGAAGGGAAAGTTTTAGACTTAGTGGAGTGTCTGTTCAGTGGATTCTCTGCGCGCTGGAAGCCTGCTAGTGACCGAGGCGCCTGCCGGGGGGCCGTGACGCCTGTGGGTTCTTGCCTGCCCACCTCTCAGGTGACAGACATCCCTGAGTGGGTGCCCTTTCCCTGCCACAGTCGGGGACACTCGGTGCACTAGCTCCTTCATGCCCACTTTTGTCTTCCTCAGAGGGATATGGAATTTAGCTGCCTTTCCCATGACTCATCTTTGAAATTTGGAAGACAATTTTTAGATTTTCGGGATTTTTCCCCTCTTCCCACTAGCACACAAAATGATCAGGTGTCCCATAGTTTGTACTGTTGTAGAATCAGGCCAGGGGGATTTACACACGCAGTGAAAGGGAAGAGAAAGAAGAGGGACATGAACGGTCAGCAGGGCCTGACTGAGCAGATGCACAGTGACGTTCCAGTCCACAGATACTTGTGGGGAAAGAGAATTTATTATTTTGTTGTAAAAGCCAGCATTGTGGCCCGGCGCAATGACTCAATGACTAAATGCTGACCTTACAAGCACTGGGATCCCATGTGGGCGTCAGTTCGTGTCCTGATTGCTCCACTTCCCATCCAGCTCCCTGCCTGTGGCCTGGGAAAGCAGTGGAGGACGGCCCAAAGCCTTGGGACCCTGCACCCGAGTGGGAGACCTGGAGGAAGTTCTGGCTCCTGGCTTCGGATCGGCATAGTTTCGGCCGTTGCGCTCACTTGGGGAGTGAATCATCGGACGGAAGATCTTCCTCTCTGTCTCTCCTCCTCTCTGTATATCTGACTTTGTAACAATAAATAAATAAATATAAATCTTTAAGAAAAAAAAATTAAGAAAAAAGAGCCAGAAGTATGAGGTGCATCATGGGAGCATGCTCAGTTTTAGTCTTCATTTGAGCCCTGTCTTCATGTAGAGTGAGACGAAGGGAAGAGTTGTACTTTTTAGGATGTTAGTCCACCAATACTTTGTTTTTGAAAAGCATAAATATAACCGAGTTGTTACTCTCTAGCATTAATTGAATAGCAAATTCATGTCGCTGACACTGTCATTCACCCTTGGCTTAAAGGGCTGGTCTCAGATGCGTAGGTGAAAGCTTCACTGTGCCCTCAGAACACTCTGGTGACGTTGGCAGTGAGCATCTAGTCCAGAGTCCTTGCCAGGGTTGAGCACGTCTCACATCAGCGTTGCAACTGTAGAACTTCAGTTTGCACTCGTTACATCTTACACTTGTCCCTTGCTTCCCTTTAGCACAGTTGTCCCAGGGCTGCTTGTCTTGTCACCGTGCCGTGTACCTTTGTTCTCTCTGACATCTCCCTCCTGCTCCTGTGTCCACAGCGAGGCTGCCGCCCATGCTGTCGCCACCCTGGCTGAAGCCACCTTACAAGGCGGGGGACAGATCGTCCTGTCCGGGGAGACCGCCGCAGCTGTTGGAGCACTTACTGGAGTCCAAGATGCTAATGGTAAGACGGCATAAATATTTTATTGAAGTTCTTCCTTGTTTCTACTTAAACCTTCCTGTGACACGGCCAACAGCAAGCCCTTCAGGAAGAGCCTGAGCTTTGCTTTGGATTTTGCCTCGCTTGCGAGGCATTTGATGACTAGGAAAATTCTCGTGGCTCCAGTCCTGTTCGCGGTGAGGTAGCTTGTGATTTCGCGAGGAAAAAGCCAGGGGTGTGGCTGCTAATGGGACCCTTTGTTTTGCCAGAGGAATGTTGTATCCTTTCCCACCCTGAGGGTAGGACATGTCAGCATCCTTCCCCACCTGTCCTGAACACCTCAAGGGAGAGGGCTGTGTGCTGGTCAGGCCAGGGTCAGGCCGAGGAGCCACTGCTCCAGCCAGCCCTTGGGATTCACTTCCTGTTTTGTAGCCTGCCACCACCCTGCCCTTCTTTCCCAGGTATTTTTCAATTTTGTGACTATTATAAATGCCTCTAATAAGCAAAAGGGATACAGTTCATAAAAATGTGACAAATCATTTATACCAGCAGCCCAGCTTTCTGGACCCACCTCAGCAGGCTGTGGAAGCGAGCGGTCAAGTTGGCTGCAAGGAGCATGCTTCCGAAGTCTGGGCAAAGGAGGAGAGTCCGCTCCTCCTGCGAGACTCTGACTTGCTTCGTAAAACTACGTGAAAATCTATAATTCAGCAGGGCAAATTAAGTACTGTATGATTTGGGGGCAAGGGATTGTTGCATTGAAGTCTGGGTTTTATTTAAACAGAAATTTCTTTGGTGGCATTAATGACTAAGAGATAAGTTCTTGGCACTTTTTCATTGTGGTTCCTAAGGACCAAATCCATGGAGAGTTGAAAAAGTCTTAAAGACACAATGCTACAGCATCTTGGAAATAGGAAGAGAGAAAGTAATTCCTTCTCTTCCCCACCGACCCCTCAGAGAAGAATTACATGAAAAATGCGGAGCACCACTGTGGCTTCAGAGAGTTTTGTTTAGCCAAAAAAAGAAATCCAATACTAAAACTACAGCCTACTTTTTCTGTAGGGCTAGGAGCGTTCATGTACCTGAATAGAGATAGAGTTGATCTTAGCCACAGTACTGTGATTAAAGGGCGTCTCACAGCCACGTATGTTCAGAATGGAGTGGGTCATAGCTGGAAGTAAGGGAAGTCTCGGTCTAGTAGAATCCTCCCTGTTTCTTTGCCATTTTCTGTTCTTTTGCGAGTCCTGATCTGCCCTCAGTGGGATGTAGGGTTCCTGATCTGCCCTCAGAGGGATGTAGGGTTCCTGATCTGCCCTCAGTGGGATGTAGGGTTCCTGATCTGCCCTCAGTGGGGTGTAGGGTTCCTGATCTGCCCTCAGTGGGATGTAGGGTTCCTGATCTGCCCTCAGTGGGATGTAGGGTTCCTGATCTGCCCTCAGTGGGATGTAGGGTTCCTGATCTGCCCTCAGGGGGGTGTAGGGTTGTAGGGTTCCTGATCTGCCCTCAGGGGGGTGTAGGGTTGTAGGGTTCCTGATCTGCCCTCAGGGGGATGTAGGGTTCCTGATCTGCCCTCAGGGGGATGTAGGGTATCTGGCTGTGTGGCCTTCATGAAGTCTGATTGCTCCTACTCACTGTGCATCAGGTACCGAGACTCCCCTGTGTAGGTTTGGTAGGAGACTATTATCCACTTGACTTGATTTTATTTGTGAGAAAACAGGTGGTTTTATAGGCCTGGCCCCTCTCTGACTTGGTTGTTTCAGTGGATGAATTTGTAGGAAAGTCTAAAGGCCTTGTGGGTCTCTGGCCAAGTGGACTGACCATTCAGCCACACACTCAGGCTGAAGCACACACCCGCTGCCGACTACTGAAGGCTGGCTCTTGTAAGATGGCCTTTGGCTTGTGTGAACCACATGCTGCTGGCTGCGTGTGTGGAAAGAGAAGGTGCTGGTCGGCGTCCTCAGAACCACAGCGGGCCGTCCAGTCTGGGCCCACTGAACCTTGCTGACCGCAGACGTGAGGCTGGACATGGCCTTCCTCAGCACAGCTTTTCCGTATGAAGCCAGGCTGGTGAGTTGTGCCGCATCAGCAAATTTAGACGAGAGCCAATCATTTACCTGCTTTTGAGAATGAGTTTACTATTGATCTGGTCCAAGCATTCTGGTATTCTTTCTGTTTGAACCTACTGAGCTGGAATACTGCAGCATTTATTCCAGTACTGGAACCAGATTTTTCCCACTTAACCAACTGATTTTTATATCTGGCTAGACTTTTTAGGGTTCTCTTTTCATCGTTTTTTCAGATTGTGTCCTGTTGCCAGTGTTTGTCACTTCTGTAATGCCAAGCTTATGATATCTGCCAGTAGACCAAGTGTAATTTATCAGGAAGAACCAGACAATAGCAGAACAAGGTACTATTTGTGGGCATAGCAATAACTTGGAAACGGACATTGTTGGGGGAAGTCTACATCCCAGATTCCAAACTGTGGTTTAAATACAAATCTGACCAGCAGATGACTCTTCTTCTAAGGGCACTCTGGGTGTTGGTTAGACCTGAAACAGGGAGTGCGACAGAGAACAGCAGCCTGTGGGAGGTGGCTGGGGTGGACAAGAACAGGGTACTTCACAGCGGTACCCTATAGCATGGCATGTTCCAAGTTAAGGACCTTGGCAGAGATTTTAAATTCCAGGCCACCAAGGCAGACATGACAAAGGCATTGGACATTGGACATTTCTAACACTGTAGGAACTATTCAAGCCAGTGCTGATTTTATTGCATTATACAGAGAAGTAAGTGAGCCTTGGTTTCTTAGGTTAGAGTTTTATGATTGAATTCAATGTAAAATTTTTCACAAGTGTCTTTTCACTGAGTTGTAACTAGAATTTCTTAAGCTGGGTGAAGCCGTTGTTCCCTCTGCCCTTCCCCTCAAGCACACCTTAATGTCCGCCCCGCCTGTCCATTTCCCATCACTCCGCGTGCGGCAGATAGAGGCCCTGGCTGGGCATTGAGTGTGTTTCACCTCTCATCCAGACTGTGCCGCTTGCTGCTAACCAGCCTTGGGGAGCCACGTCCACACGCCTTTCTTCTGCCTCCTTACCACAGCAAAGACAGGGAGGGGTGGGACTGGCCACTCAGAATGCCCTTAGAGCTGAGATGCCCTTATACTTGTGTTCCTGAAAGATACATGCTGTTTCTAAAATTGAGATGGGACAGACAAGTGAAGTGCGTGAGTAAATCTAGGTCTTTTGAGAAAATAGCAACATTTTCTGAAATAGCTGCCACTTTTTCTGATGGCACTGAGAGAAAGGGCACATACAGCATGCTGGGGGTTTTACTTGGCAACGTTGTTATTATAAATCATATGTACTTCTACCTGCTAGAATGTTAATGTTTTGGTTTTTATAGAATCTGCCCTGTGTCCTCTATTAATTAAAATGTCACCAGTATTTTGTGCCATGCATTGAAGCATCTTGACCACTGTTGTCACTAAGTATTCTTCCGTGAAGATCATGTCAGCACTTGGAATGCTTCTGTCACCTTGCCCTAACCAGCCTGCGTTGGTTCGGGTTGTCGGGGCCTTTCTGCAGCAGCATGCGCCGTGCGTCCGGCCTGCACCTTTGCCTCTTGCCCTGGGCCTCACTCGCACTGTGAACCAGCCTCGCTGCCTCTCACCAGCGCTGCGTGGTGGGTGATAGAGACTGTTTGCCTGTTTGGTAGGCAATTTGTAAACATTAATGCTGAATATTCCCCTTTTCCACATTTTTACCTATACTTTTAGTTTTAGTGTTTGTCTACTCATTCTCTGCATATTTTTCATTCAGATTAAAAAAAAATTTTTTTTATTAGAAAGGCAGATTTACAGAGAGCAGAAATAGAGACATCTTTCAACCACTGGTTCACTCCCCAAGTGGCCACAGCAGCCAGAGCTGAACTGATCCAAAGCTGGGAGCCAGGAGTTCTTGCCAGTTTTCCCATGGGTACAGAGTCCCAGAGACTTGGGCCATCCTCAGCTGCTTTTGCAGGCTGTAAGCAGGGAGCTGGATCAGAAATGCAACAGCTGGACACAAACTAGCACCCGTGTGAGGCTGCTGGTGCTTGCAGGCAGAGGGTTAGGCAGCTGTGCCACCACAGTGGTCCCTCCTTTTGGGTTTTAAATATCGGTCCTCCTGATCTGCAGAAGGTCTTCGCTGTCAGGGAGTAGCCTGTTGCTTTGTGTGCATGTTGCAGAGTTTTTCCCTGGTTCATTTTTATTTCACTTTCATTACTTTTCATTTTCCTGATTTTTTGTTTTTATTCTATTTGTACCTTCAAAATTAGATAAACATATAAAATAGTTTTAAATATCTGGAATTTATTGTGGTATAAAGCATTAGGTAAGAATCTAAATGATTTTCAACTCCACAATATTCTGTCTTAGTCCAATCATTTTGGCACTATTTTTATTTCATTATAAAGATTGAGATCCATGCTTTGTATACTGATTGGAAGTGTACCAATTGTACAATCTTTTTTTAATATCATTTTTTATTGGAAAGGCGGATATACAGAGAGGAGAGACAGAGAGGAAGATCTTCCATCCGATGATTCACTCCCCAAGTGAGCGCAACGGCTGATGCTATGCCGATCCGAAGCCAGGAGCCTCTTCCGGGTCTCCCACGCGGGTGCAGGTTCCCAAAGCTTTGGGCTGTCCTCGACTGCTTTCCCGGGCCACAAGCAGGGAGCTGGAAGGGAAGTGGGGCTTCCAGGACACAAACCTGCGCCCATATGGGATCCCGGGCGTGCAAGGCGAGGACCTTAAACACTGCGCCACTGCGCCGGGCCCCAATTGTACAATTTTTAACAAGATTTTTATTTATTATATTTATTGGAAAGTCAGATTTGCAGAAAGAAGTAAAGACAGAAAAATCTTCTATCTGCTGATTCACTCCCCAAGTGACAGCTGGAGTTAAGCCAGTCTGAATCCAGGAGCCAGGAACTTCCTCCAGGTCTCCCACACAGGTGCAGGGTCCCAAGGTTTGGGCCATCCTGGA